TTAATAAGCAAGCAGTAAGAACAAGCAGCAGACACAGGCAACCACACGTGCCCTCAAGTGGGAGGTTGCCTATGTGCTGCTTGTCCTTACTGCTTGCTCAATAAGCTCACTGAATGTTTCTATGGTAGGTTAGTTGGATCCTGTCTACATTGGCCCTAGTATGTGTGTATGAATGTAACTTAGGGACTTTAGATTGTACGCGCCTTGAGGGTTAGGGACTGATGTGAATGTACAATATATATGTAAAGCGCTGCATAAATTGACAGCACTATATAAGTACCTGTAATAAATAAATAAATAAATAATGTTGCTGGTGTGCAGTGCTGATTCATGTTGGCTAGGTGCAATTGAAAAAAAAGTCTGCATGTGGTAAATCTTGCTTGAAGCTGTTGTGATCTGAATTGTGCATGATACCATATAACACAAATTAAACAAGCTAAAGTTAGGTCAAGAAAGATGGAAGAATGTGAATATTTTGCAAGTGATCCTTATATATGATTATAATAATGTAAGATTGAATATTCATGACTCAAAGCATAACGTCTCCTTAAACCTGCACTGAGAAAATATGTTGGAGAAACAAAGTGAGAATGCAGGCAGTTCATTTAGACTCATTAGATTCATTACTGGCCCTTTATTAATGCTACAAGGGTTAACAGCAGGAATTTAGTTTGGAAAATTTTTTTAAGACTGATGCATGTTTCAGCATAGCAGGTAAAGTATAAAAAAACTCCAGGTATCCACGGTGTTAACTGTTAAGGACAGTACAGGAAAGTACAATATCCAGTACCTTTGTGGGGCCAGGATGGATGTTTCCTCTCTGTTAGGCAATATTAGGCTCTCTGAGATGGGGGTATTGCCTGTCTCTGAAAACTGGTATTTATTAGCAGCTAAACTTGACTGATTTATCTTTTTCATCCTATTTAAATTGTGACCATGTATTTCATTAGCTTGTATCTATCAGAATATCTTTTACTACAGTACAGATGACATTTTCCTGTTCTGCAGAAAGGGATCCCACATTATTACATTTTCTGTATAACGATACCCTTATCATAATACAATATTGCCAACCATCATTTCCTGTGCAATTTCCATTTGAATAGTCTATTAACCCATGCTCCATATTTCCATACATGGCCAAAGCATTATTTCCTTTTTTCACATCTGACAAAATGCATGTAACCAACTGGAAAAATTTGCTAAACATAATTTTATAGGCCCTGTCCAAAAAGGAAACCAAGTGAGATGAGCTGATTACTACTTTCATTATTAAACTGAAATTTGGGAATCAATTTAGGTCTTTCTTTAAAGCAGCTCCAGGCTAACAGCTCAATGTATATATTGGAGCTCTTTTATCTGCCAAAAGATTTAACGCAGTTTTAAAATGTGCACAGCCTTGCCAGACTACAAAGCCAGAATGGTAACTTGACCTTTTTTCCAGTACGGTTAAAGCTGATGTTTAAATGTAAAAAAATTCTCTCCCTTCTATGTTACTTACCTGTAATGAAGGATGTCCCTTGATAAACAGGCTGCTGGATTCTGTAGAAATGTTCACTGCTGGGTTACATTGTCCTCTTCCTGCTGCTGAACTTCTGGCACTATGGGGGTTAACAGCTTTGGATCTCCAGACTGCACTAAAGATAATTCAATGGAGACATGCCCCCTCCCACCCTCTCCTCCATTCAGAAAAGGTCTCACTTATTGCATAGCCTTTAACAGGATCTTTGAATGGGGGAGAGTCTCACCAATCACAGAATTCTCTCCCCCATTCACAGATCGTGTCACAGGCAATGTATTCAGTGAACTATCTTTCCTCAGTGTTCAGTCAACATTTCTACAGAATCTAAATTACCTGCTACAGGTAAGTAATGTAACTAAAGCTGTAGAGAAAGAAATGTATTTAATGCAGAACTGCACTGCATCTGAGAACCATAAACCAAGAACCCTATTTCATTTATTTGTAATATTTAAAGCAAATTATCCCATTAATCCATGTCTCCATGCTTTATTTTGCTAAGAAATCACCATGAACCCCTCCCCCCCATCATTTCTGGCAGTGGCCATCTTAAGTAAGGGCAGATAATTCATGTAGCATTTACTTTCTGGAATCTATACGCCCTTAGCTCAGGCATGCATGCAGGAGGGTGTGCTCAACTGAGAAAACTCCTCCTCCCCTCATGATGAAAACTACTGGGATCTGGATAAATGTGGTAATAGAAGAAATGTAAAAAAAAGTGTAAAACAAGTAAATATAATATACTTTCCTAGCTATTTACTAATGCTAGCAGCATAAGGATTAAAAATAGTCAATGCTGATTGAGAGAGTGAAGTTCCACTTTAACTTCAGCTTTAATCAAGACACAATGGTCACTTGACAGCCGTCTACCACTGACTGGACAGTAAGCAGACTGATAAGGCAGTCTGTCTTTTCTCTCCTGCTGTTAAAGGGACACTGTCTTCAGGGAAGTATGGGGGCTGCCATCTCTGGCCTCCTAAATCAAATGTTAGTTACCCGGTTGTGTTTGACTTAAGTCACAGACCCACACTAGTGTGCCGTAAATTAGTGTCAGAAAAGTTTCAGCTTTCCTCATCTCTATACACGTTCCATGTCAGAAACTCAGAAAGCACTAAAGCCAAAGATTCAGCATAATAGCAAAGGTGCGAACATTCCCAAAAAAAGTTCATCAGCAGCAGCCTCCATGAACATGACAAGCACCATAAACAAAAATTCAAAGTATATGACATCTTCACCTCATTTTGGACCAATGTAACTATACATACTGTATACGACACCTGGTGATGCCCTTCGAAGCTGGAAATCAATTAAGTAGAGATCGCTACTCCAAGTGATCTCCACTTGCTTACAGGTCCCGTGCCAAGCAGTTGCCCTACTGCATACTGGAATGAGGAGGCTGAACGCTCGGCAAGGGTACCATTCAGAGAATGCTTTCCATTGTCTGATTGAATGCAAAGAGTAATAGAAAGTCTTCTGAGACTGGGCAGGAGGAAGGGCAGGCACAGTGACTGCAAACAACTCTGTAGCTGCAGGATCGGAGACCTGATAGTCCAGCCCCAGAGTATTGTAAATATAACAATAGTGGTACTCCTGGTGCTCAGTAAAAATGTAAATAGTAAATAAAAGAGATAAGGCCATGAGGTGGCATACACGTTAGACTTAACCCCTTTTAAGCCAAAACATTTAAAAAAGTGCTGCAATTCCTGGAGTTCTTCTTTAAGGACAAACTCCGTGCTGGAAAAAAAAAATACTGTTTGCCTCTAAGCCGCTCACAGTCCCAGCCATCCACTCACACTCTCCACATACAACGTATGTGAAGAAATGGTTAAACCTGACACTAGGCGCTCAGAAATGGACACTGCCACTCTAGGTGTGATCCCAAGGACCTTTCACAGCCAGGACTGGAAAGAAATGGAAGTACAGCCCTCCTCAGACCGGGAAAATCCAACAGTGCACAAAAACATGAAAACAAAGAGGGTGCAAACACCTGGCGCATTGCCTTAAAACAATTTATTGAGAAATAAGAGACAAAGGTTATAATCACAAACGAAGTGAACTATTTGCATGTAATTGCATAAGCACACAATGGGGATCTTTCTTCACCTCCAACTGGAAACAGTATGGTGTTAGCAGCTGACGCGTTTGGGGGACCCTGTCCCCTTCCTCAGAGCAAAGGCTGACGTCCCCCAGAACTCAAACTCCTTAAAAAACGTGTGGAGCCCACAGCCTGCCTACCATCAGGGAGCGGGGAGAAGGGGGAGGAATTATTTTAAAGGGGACACAGCCTCATTTTCATCCTCTATGCACATAGATAGTAAGAACATGCAAACATGTTATTGGTACATGATTAACCAACTTAACCACTGCAAGTAAAATGGAAATATGTATCGCAGATAAAATAAATTAATAGGTGTATACATGAATATACACATATAAAAAGTGCATATCACTGGTAAAAAACCATATATATATGTGTAAACATGAACTACTTAAAGAGTACATTAGCAGCCTTATTGACATCATCAAAGTGACTAATATGTTAAATTACTCATCTACCCCTCCGTTTCCGGTCAATAACTGCTCACCCTCAATGTGTGGGGCCAGTCAGTGCCAATCTTTAGGGTCACCCAATGGAGAAGACTATAAAACCCGGAGGCTCATAGAGATGAGCATTTACATGAAATAGTTGTAACAGAAGACAATGGACACTGCCGACTGTTATTAGGGGTCTGCTGTTGGAATAAACTGAACTGCGTGCTTCCTGCTCGTGGAGTGCACGCTGGCCATGCTTCCTGATGCTGGAGCGCAAACAACTCTCCAGCCGGAACGCACCCGCTGGAACTGGAAGTTCAGGACCAGAAATGCGTCATACCAAGTGTCCTATCTTCCAAATAGAAGGAATGTATTCTAGTGGTGACATCTGTCCCATTGATGACAGCAAGCAGAATACTCTTGCACTAGAGCGAATATGAAATGAATCTATATTGTAAGAGTCTGGCTGCCACGGAAGGATAAATGAGTATGTTGCATAGCAAGATGTACATAAAACTCTAATATCAATAAATATGTGTATACAAAATACTACACTATTAACCACTAGCCTACCGGGCACTTATACCCCCTTCCTTACCAGGCCAATTTTCAGCTTTCAGCGCTGTTGCACTTTGATTGACAATTGTGCGGTCATGCAAGATTATACCCATATGAAATTTTTATAATTTTTTTCTCACAAATAGAGCTTTCTTTTGGTGGTATTTAATCGCAGCTGGGCACTTTACTATTTGCGCTATAAACAAACAGTGTGCAAAAAATTTGAAAAAAAAAAAAGCTTGTTTCTATTATAAAATTTTGCAAACAGGTAATTTTTCTCCTTCACTGATGTGCATTGATGAGGAAGCACTGATGGGCACTGATAGGTGGCACTGATAGGCAGCACTGAAGGGCACTGATAGGTGGCACTGATAGGAAGCACTGAGGTGGTACGAATATGCGGCACTGATAGGCAGCACTAATGAGGTGTCAGGGATAGGCGGCACTGATGATGGGTACTGATGGACAGCACTGATAGGTGGCACTGACTGGCGGCACTGCTAGGCATTGACTGGCGCAACTGCTGGGCACTGACTGGCACAACCGCTGGGCACTGACTGGTGGCAGCACTGCTCGGCTGCATTGATGGGCACAGGTGGGTGGCACTGGTGGGCACAGGTGGGTGAAACAGGTAGGTGGCACTTCTGGGCACAGGTAGGTGGCACTGCTGGGTGGCACTGGTGGGCACTGCTGGGCACAGGTGGGTGCACTGCTGGGCACAGGTGGGCGGAGCTAGTGGGCGGCACTGCTGGTCACAGGTGGGAGGAACTGGTGGGTGGCACTGCTGGGCACCGATCAAGGCACTAATCATCAGTGCCCTGATGATCGGTGCCAATCCCTGCTCTGACAACTGCCGATTCTTTGCAGTACTTTCCTCACGCTCTGATCACGTGGTAAAAGGCCGCTGTGATTGGCCTTTTACCACATCACGTGATCAGCTGTGTCCGTAGGACACAGCGATTACGGAGATCGCCGGGTGCGCGCCCTCCCAGAACTAGCCAGCCGCAGTGTAGCCGTCATTCGGCTATCTGCGGTTGGCAAGTAGTTAAACTTGGGCTAGACCAACTGATTGCAATAAAAAGCACAATAATTAGTTGGTAAATATTAAATAAAAAAAAAAAAAAAAAAAAATTAATATATTAAAAAAAATTAGAAGAGGCCATATCTCTTACTGTTGGGTGCATAGTAGCATTCCCAAATGTGCTACCAATATTTCATATATAAATAGGTAGTAAAAAACTAGTCAATATGTTGGTTCTTATTAGGGGATCTGATTACATAACTGATATCGTGATCACAAATATAAAGGGAATTAATATGTGATGCATGTACAATGTACTAAAGCACAGATGTGACAACAATCTGGAATGATATGTATGGGCTATATACTATGAAAAAAATGAATGAATGAATTTAAATAAACTTGACAGTACAACCTATTCTCGGTCTAATTTCCCTAAATACAATGATCCAATTAGTATAGAGCCCGGAAGAGAATATGCTAGGGGATAATAGTGTTTGTTTGTAATTGTTGATGTTAGCAGATGTAAATGAAAAATGGGAGTATAGACTGCAGGGACAGAAGGGGGGATTGAAGGAAACCACCGCTGCTGTCTCTAACCCCAACCGTCATACCTACTGTATATGGTTTCACTAATTTGCCAAACAAATAGATATCACCCTTAGCCAGAAATAGGATTTAGTATGGGTAGTCTTTCTTAGACCACAGCATGAATTTTCAGGTCCTCATTTAAGCCTTTCGGTGTCATTGAGGCCAATTGGTGGATCCAGAATGCCTCACGGTTGCAGACCCTTTTCTGTTACTTATCAGAATCTGCATCACCAATGATGGCTTCGATTCCGAACACTTTTAGGCCCTCTGGATTCTTATCATGGATTTCCGCAAAGCGGCGGGACAAAGAATGTTTATCGAATCCTTTCAAAATATTCCTTTTGTGCTCTCCAAATCTGGTCCTCAGTGTGCAAGAAGTGTGACCCACATAAAGGAGACCGCATGGGCAAATGAGGCGATAGACCACATATGGGACACCGCAGTTAATAAACTGTTGTATAAAATAGGCCTTCCCATCAATACAGATTACTTCTTTTTTCCTATGCCACATAAATTGGCAGGCTCTTCAGTTGGCTACCCTGCACCGTTAGTTCCCTTTTGATCAAAAAAGGTTGTCCAGGTAAATATGGACTTTTTCTTCTTAACTGGCTTCAACCTACTGGGAGCAATGTGGCTTCTTAGGTCTCTTGGCCTTTTGAACACCACACAAGGTCTATCTGAGATAGATAGTGTGAGGTGAGAGTCCTGTTTGAGTATAGACCAATATTTTGTAAACACCCTCTGTATATCAAAGGCCTTGCTATTGTACTAATAGAAAAGAGAAAGTTGGAGATGGAGATCAAAAATCAGATCCCCCTTGCTAACGGGATTTATTGGTGCCCCACCCCTTGATAAAACATTGAAGATAACATCCTTTACTGAAAAAACGAATAGGATTTTAAAGGCACCATACCACAAAAAATACAATTACAAACTATATAGTAAATACAAATTTATTAATAACATTCAAACCACTGTTGTGGTAACAAAAAATTGAGCACATAGTGCATTATTCTTAAAAAGCTTGAAAGCTTGAAAGGTTGATAACAAGCACAATAGATATACATTAATTCAAAATGAGGCTACGGATAGCCTGATTGTCATAAATAGCATAAGTAGCATAACTGGTACAAGAGAATGCTTTACTATTATTCTCCATAACTGGCATAGTTATTACAAGTAGATGCATGACTTTTATTCTCCAACGCATTTTGCAGGATGCAGCCTGCTTCTTCAGGGAGAAAAAGTATAAAAACTATGAAATTATACAAAATAGACCAAATTTTAAAATAAACATATACCATATTGCAGTCATAATAATTAATCTAACATGCTCGATTTGACATTTACCCAAAATGACATCAAAGCACAGGAGGCCAGTGGAAAAGAGCATGAGCATACAGTCCAGACCACGATAAGAGGAATCTCTCTCTTAGGGAGTATCGATGTCCGCCAATTAAACACAGATTTTTATAGGAGACTATAATAATCATCAAATAAATCATATGTTTAGAGTGTCCCAGGGAATTACAAACTACACCCCTACTCCCCACATGAATTATATATAAAAAACCCTATAAACATGGAACTACAATACAAGCAAGACAAAATGTCTACTGTATCCCTAGCGGGACCTCAAATTCACTATTACAAACGTTACTGCAATTTGTTTTACTCTCCTCAACAAAAAAAAGATAGAGGGAAGACATACTAAATAAATCTATTAATAATTGCTAATTGGATGTATACCAGTAAAACAGAGTGCTTTTGTTGATCAGGCAGCTCCCAACAGTCAAAGTCCCTCTGGCAAAAAGGGAAAAGATCCCTATATAAAAGGTAATAATGCTCCCAAACCGTTCTGGAAACACAGCAGAATTAGTGCTGCCAATCCAACCCAAAGATGCAGCCAAAGAGGTGCAGTCTCCATTGCATATGCCTTAAATAAACTAAACCGCCTAAATATCAGCATTCCCGCCCTACGGCGCATGTGCAACGTTGTCATTGATGTAATGCGTGATGTCATGACGCCCAGCGTCACCAGCTGACGTACCATGAGGTCGGATGTCACATGATCGCGGCCATTGTATGAAGATATCGGAGATCAAATACCACTCAGCTATCACCGGGATACACCAGAAAGAAAACAAACAAGCTGCCAGATCACAGTGCACACATAAACCGAGTCCAGCATCCACATACACATCAAAAGGGGCATTGTTATGCGGATATATGCTTATGATTCCAAGCGCCTTCCTCGAAGTCAAAATTGATCATCATCAGATCTAAAAAGTGCATTGTTGAAGTAACCACAACCATAAAAGTTATACATAGGTATTACATATTCAGAATCATAATACATCAAAGATGGTACAGCACAAATTTTTTTTCAAAAAGTATATACAAAAAAATATAATATTAAATACATCACAAATAAGCATATACACAAAATATACAAACAATACTCAAAATATAAAGAAAAAATAAGAAATTAAATATAAAAAAAAAAGTATAAATTAAATAAATCTAAACATATGCGGTGGCTGAATATCAGGGCAAAAAAGGTTTGAAACACAATGAGTCCTTTTGTCCCGGAGGTTGTGTCGCCGCCAAATTATGTATCCATCTCGCTTCTTTTTGCTATTGTACCTGGTGCTGAATGGGACTAGGCCTAGTGTGGTTATCTCTCTGCCTGGTTATTCCTGAGACAGATGTTTGTAATCGTAACTTGCTGAATATTTCTCAAAGGCTTCTCTGACCACCCTGGCATCATAACTTTTATCTGAAAACTTCTTAAGGATCTGGCTCTGTTCCTCATAGTCTTCCACTCTGGTGCATGTCCTCTTTAATCGGTAAGACTGTCCAAACAGGACATTGTGGATGGGGGATGATGATGACTTTTCACATGCAGAAATGAATTATGCACCATCGCTTTGAAATGGGTCCTAGAGATAACTTTCAGCTCTGGTTCAAAGTCCAACTCCAAATACAGAAAAACCAACTTGTGACAATCAACCACATATGTGAATTCAATGTTGAATGGATTGGCTTGACAGTAGGCTATGAATTCCTTTAGCTTTGACCCTTCCCATATGAGAATGTCAAATGGGTTACTCCCTCCCCCCCTTCTCCCCGCCCCCCCTGATAGTAGGTGTACTGTGGGTTCCACATGTGTTATTTAGGGAGTTTGAGTTCTGGGGGACTTCAGCCTTTGCTCTAAGAAAGGGGACAGGGTCCCCAAAACGCATCAGTAGCTAACACCATCTTGTCGCCAGCTGGAGGTGGAGAGCGGTCCTCATTGTGTGCTTATGCAATTACAAGCCATTAGCTCACTTGGTTTGTGAGTATAACCTTTCTCTTTTATTTCTCAATAAATTGTTTTAAGGCAATGTGCCAGGCGTTTGCGCCTTCTTTGTTTTCATGTTTCTCCACATAAAATGCAGGGTTAAAAGCCCTGCCTGCTTTGTATGTGATGACACTAGGAAACAACCACAGGCAAGAGGTTCTGGTAGGTAAGAACAGCACTAAAGTCTGCTGGAACAAAGAATAGGGAAACGTATGAGGGCAGTAAAACATCTTCTTCCTCAATTTCCAAAAGTATCAGCAAGCATTTAACCATTGCAGTGCAGAAGAAACCCAACTGCAAAGGTATTTTTGTATTAGCCAGAAGATGGCTTTAGGCCTCATTCAAACTTGAGCTAAAAAATGCCAGGCATTTGACTTTTTTTTTCTGCCTAGAAATGCCCCTCCATTATAGCCTATGCGTCCATGCACACGTGGGCATTTCAAGGAGTTTACAGGCAGGAGAATTTAGAGGCAGAAAAAAAATCCATCACTTGCGAACAAGAGAGGAGTATTCTGGCTGAAAAAACACCAAAATGTGCTTGGGTATTTTCATTCATTTCAATTAACAAGCACTTGACGTACCTAAACACATTTACAAAAATGCAGCTTAGGCTCATTTTTTAATCTGATTTTCTCCTGCATGATTTTTACAAGAATTTGATGACTGTTTTTTGTTCAGGCATTATGTAGAGATGAGAAGGTGAACCAACAGAATGAAAATTAGATTTTTAACAAAGATACAGTAGGCTTTCCAGCAAGGATTTAAGACAAAAAAAACATGAATAAGCACTGTAATGTCATTTTAGTGAAGCAGTTAATTTTTTTGCTATTCCACAAATGTATGGAGTTTTGGAAATAACTTTTTTTTTTTTTGTAAAATAATCTTTTGTCATATTTTTTACAATGCTAAGAAGCCTGCCACCTACATTTTCAGGGGTGAAAAGGCCAAAGCAGCTTTAATTAAAATAAGTTTGGCCAAGTTCTGAAATTCTAACATATTTTTTGAATTATCCGTTAATCGAAAAAACACTCCTGCCCATTCGTATGATTAACTGGAAAGATACAGTAATATGTTTGTCTGATTTTTATTTATTACAAAGCAACATTTTGCAGAGTGAATCCTAAACAAAATTCCGCTTTTATTGGATGGCTGATTCTTGCATTAATATAGTAATAATATAGTTCTTAAAGCAAAACTAAACTCCGCAAGATACTCACCTCCAACTTTCTGTGAAGCAGTGGTTACAGCCCTTGATGGCTGCTTTCATCTTCTTCCCAGGGTTCTTCTGCCTGCAGGATTTTCAGTCTCTTGATTGGCCAGTGGAGGATGATGTGATCTTATTCATATGCATGAGAGTCAGATCTACTGGACATCTGCTATGTGCATTCAATAGTAGACCTCGAGCAGGCGTGTCTTATTGCAGAAGAGACAAAGCATATATCTTATGCAATAAAAAGCTGCCTGAATGTATTTTTTTTTTAGATTAAGTTTAATTCCACTATTAAGATGTGCAGTCATGGCCAGAAATATTGGCACCCCTGCATTTCTGTCAGATAATGCACCACTTCGTCCAGAAAATTGTTGCAATTACAAATGATTAGTCATTCTCATGTTTATTTCTTTTGTTTGTATTGGTACGACACAAATAAGTGGAGAAACAAAAAGCCAAATCTGACACATTTTAATCAAAACTTCAAAAATATACTGGATAAAATTATTGGCACCTTCTCAAAATTGTAAGAATTGCATTCCAAGTTTGTGATGCTCCTGTAATTTGTATATATGTCATTTGTAATTAAACTCACCTGTATCATTTAACAGGATGCCGACAAAATGGAAATCACACCGGCAACCAGTTAAAATGGTGAAAAATATACTCAACCTTTCTATTGTGTGTCTCTGTGTGCCGCATGGAGCACGGAGAAGAGAAAGAACAGCAAAGAATTGTCTGAGGACTTCAGAACAAAAAATTGTGGAAAAGCATGGACAATCTCAAGGTTACAAGTCCATCTCCAGAGATCTTAATGTTCCTGTGTCCACTGTGCGCATCACTGTCAAGACATTTACATCCCATGGCACTATAGCTAATCTCCCTGGACGTGCAACAAAGGATTGTTCAAATGGTAGCTAAAGAACCTTGATCAACTTCCAGACAAATTCAAGCTGACCTTCAGGCACAGAGTACAACTGTGTCAGCTCGCACTATACGTCGCCATCTGAATGAATAGGGACGCTATGCTAGGAGACCCAGGAGGGACCCCACTGCTGACACAGAAACATAAAAAAGCCAGATTGGAGTTTGCCAAAACGTACTTGAAGCCAGAACCCTTTTGGGAGAATGTACTGTGGACAGATGAAACAAAATTACAGCTTGTTGGTAAAGTCCATCATTCTACTGTTTTCAGAAAAAGCAATGAGACATTTAAAGAAAAGAATACAGTCCTTACAGTTAAACATGGTGGAGGTTCACTGATGTTTTGGGGTTGCTTTGCTGCTTCAGGCACTGGATGTCTTGACCGTGTGCATGGTATTAAGAAGTCTGAAGACTACCAAAGAATTCAGGGGTGCAGTGTAGGGCCCAGTGTTAGAAAGTTGGGTCTCTGTCAGAGGACATGGGTCTTACAGCAGAACAATGATGCAAAGTACACATCAGAAAGCACCCAGAAATGGTTTAACCACTTTCCCTTCAGAGGATTTACCCCCCTTTCTGACCTGACAGGCCATTTTTTGCGCTGTGTTACTTTAACTGACAGTCAAGCAACGCTGCAGCCAAATGAAATTTATGTCCTTTTTTCCCATGAATAGAGCTTTCTTTGGTGATATTTGATCGCCTGTGCGTTTTTTGTATTTGCGCTATAAAAAAAAAAAAAGACTGACAATTTTGAGAAAAAACAATACTTTTGACATGTCCAGTAAAAAAAATTTTAAAAATCAAATTTCATCATACATTTAGGCCAAAATGTATTCTGCTACGTCTTTGCTAAAAAAAAAATCCCAATACATGTAATTTAATTGGTTTACATGAAATTTATAGGGTTAACAAATGGCGGTATATATACTGGGATTTTTTTTTTTCTTCATTTTTCCTGGCAATGACGGCAATCAGTGACTTATAGTGGGACTGTGGCGGGCATTCTGACACTGGGGGAAACTGAATTGGTGTCACAGACATCCCCAGTGACACCATACAGTGATCAGTGCTAATAAAAAGCACTGACACTGTACTAATGGCACTGGGCAGGATGGGGTTAACATGTGGAATGATCTAAGGGTTAACTGTGTGCTGTGTGTGTTTTACTGTGGGGCTGTATGTTTGTGCTTCACTGTAAGCACACTGCTATGCATGGTGCATGGTGATGCTCTGCAATCACGGGGCGGGCAAGTAATCACAGCCGTGGCTGCGAATGCAGGGGCGGGTAGGGTGCGCATGCGCCCCTACCTGGAAATGCAAAATCATGTATATATACGTGATTTTGAGCACTCGTGTCGCCCTGTAGCAGTACTTCTGCTATACGGCGGACAGGAAGTGGTTAAAGAAAAAGGGCTGGAGAGTACTGAACTGGCCATCAATGAGTCTAGATCTCAATCCCATAGAGTACCTGTGGAGAGATCTCAAAACAGCAGTTGGGAAAAGGAACCCTTCCAATCTGAGAGACCTGGAGCAGTTGGCGAAAGAAGAGTGGTCCAAAATTCCAGTAGAGAGGTATAAGAAACTCATTGATGGTTACAGGAAGTGACTGATTTCACTTATTTTTTCCAAGGGGTGTGCTACCAAATATTAAATTGAGGGCGCCAATAATATTGTCCATTCTATTTTTGGAGTTTTGCGTGCAATGTGTCAGAATTGGCTTTTTGTTTCTCCACTTTTTGTGTCATACCAATACAAACAAAATAAATAAATATGAGAATGCTTAAACACTTGTAATTGCAACAATTTTCTGGGCGAAGTGGTGCATTATCTGACAGAAATGCAGAGGTGCCAATATTTTTGGCCATGACTGTAAATAACTTAAAACTTTCATTAAGGGGTCAAGTTCTAGTTACTGAAGAAAGATGAAGTGAACGTAGGATGTGAGTGAGAGCAGGAGTGTGCATATGTGTGTGTGTTTGTCGGAGAGAGCTACTATAAACAGCATGAATACTTTTTTTTTCCTTTTTGGCACCACAATCCAGGTCCTCAGCTTAGTATTGCTCGAACATTTAGGTGGTACCAAAATCCGTAGTATGTCAGGCTGCTGTGTTTTTTTTTAAATGCAAAATAATGAGGTTCTGTGCAGTAACCAGTGTTAGTCCTCCACCAATTCCCAGCTCTGTCCCCTCCACTGTTGGTTCTCCTTCTAATCATTCTCCTTCTGTTGTATTCTGCATATAATGCTGTATGATAACAAAGCCATTTGAAAAGCAGGAAATGTAAGTTGAGTCTTGAATTCATGAACCCCTCAGCTAGATAAACTCATAAGATATATAATAATTGTATTACAAAAAAAAATAAAAAACTACTAGCATGACCCATACTGTAAATGCAGTATACCAAATCAGCAAGCATTCTTGGAAGCAGATTCCATATTCCACATGGGGATCCAATTTTCCTAGTTATATAACAGCCTTGGCACAATGACACCACAGTTGGACAGCATTACATGGTGCTGGTGCTAGCCAGGGGTTCACCTTTTATAACAAAACTAAAAAAAAAAAGTTTTATAGAAATAAATATTTATAGTAGAGCCGTATGAAGTATTAGAAAGCATGGCTCCCATATAGAAAAAGAAACAAGGCTCAATGACAAGAAACACTGGCAGCTCAATGTAAATATACTTCCAATGGAAAGTATGATTTTTTTTATTGCTTCAAAAGGGAAACAGTATTAATATATATTAGTCACTACAAAAGCCGCTCTTGCCAAGAAAACACTGGATGAACAAAAAATGATCGTTTTATTACTTTGACAGGATTGGCGGATCTGTCTTTGGCATACATATTATGTGCATTCAAGCCAAATTATGAATGTAAAGAGGGAAACAAGTAGATAAACTGAGTTGAGTCACTGACACTAAAAGATATAATAACAGCAAAGTTAAATAACAGAATGTGAACGTGCTTGGCCAGCACTTTTGGCTGCTAAGACATTATCATCACTCTTTTCTATTACTGCAGTTGGGGGACATCCTCCTCTGCACATCATTCTACTATACTTAAAATTAAGTTAACTCCATTTCCTGCAGTCTGAAATTCTATTATCACTCTATAGTCAGGAATACCCAAAGTCTCAGAGGAAGTTCCATCCTACGGACAGAGGTTAAAAAGAATTCTTGTGTTGGTTTCCGAAAAGTCTAGTAAAAACAACCTTGGAATTAGAATGATTATAACTCACAATGGATTTATGCCAAAACATAAATCTGGAAAATGGGGAAAAAACAAATATGTACAATAGGATCCTCAAAACAAGGTTTGGAGTTTATTGTAATTGACAGCTTGATATAAACCCCAGATCTGATTATATCAATATTATTTTATAGATTTTGTAAAATATAGAACACAGAGTAGTGAAACTGACCAAAGCTGTAAAGATTTTTCTTTTGTTTTGGTCTTCAGCAATAAGTATTCTCAGTGTCCAGTGCATAATGATGAAGCCTAGCTGCAGCCAAAATATGGTTTTCAGTTTTGGATAGAGGTGCGGGTTAAAATTTCAGTTGCTTATGGTAAATATGACTTTAAAAAAAGTTGGAGGAGAGAGGGCCCCGAAAAGGAAAAGAACAACAAAAAGTTCCATTATCCTTTAAGCACGTTATGTACTTTTGAGAGGATTATGATAAACCTCTAAATACCTTGACACATTCACTTTTGGAAAAAGTAAACTGTTGCCTCAAGCAATATCTAAATCCAATTACATTTCCTAAATATTCCCTGACAAATCAGATTACAATCAAATTATTATAAACTGCTAATCTTGGTGTAATTCTGAAAACACTGAGGAAATATGTTTTCGCCAGCTTTTTTTGCCTCATCTTGTCAAAAAAGAGATGCATCAAACTGGCAGGAGTTATAAGACTATAGCGAATGATAGCAAAGGTAAAGCAATAATAATCAGTTAACAGTACACGGAACTTAACAAATCACTTCTGATGTTGATAATTAGATTTGTACTCTCACGGAACATCTCCTTTTCATTCCTAGCCAATCAATCTGGTTTCTGGTTTTCGGCCCATGGATCGCATGTCGGTTGCAGCACTTCTGGGTCTAGATGTGAACTTTGTTCTTGTTGTTTTAAAGCAATGCTTTTTACCTTTTTAATTCAACAAAAAATGGTACACTATGATGGCCTCTTCTCCCCTCGTGTCCATATAACTACCTAAGTATTGATGGCCTTATACTGAGGGAGATATTTACCTGAACAGAAGCTAATAACAGTCCAGGAGAGTACCATCAGAAGAAGAGTGGGGACCCCAGGATTATGGAGTGAAGACCCCAGGAGAGTGGAGTGAGGGGGGCCTGGGAGAGATACCACTTGAAAGTTGGTTATTGACTCTTGTGCTGATTGCAGTGGGTCATGACCTGGTGAGTGTGGGAGCACCCGAGGTCACAAAGCACACAGAGGCACATGGTCACTTTATGGATGAACTTATGCGCTGGGCACTTTGTTGATAATTAAGTAAGAAAGAAAATGGTTTGTGGGTGGATTAAAATAGAAATATAGGCAAAACTTTTTTTTCATTTTCGATAGAGCAAGGGAGGGTTATAACCCCTGTCAGATTTTTTTTTTCACCATCTGTGTCTCATTTTGGAGATTTCCCTTCACTTCCTGTCCCATAGCCAAACAGGACATCCGTGCAAATTAAGAGAATCCCTTGGAGACTCCCCAGGTCATCAGAAGTAGTGTCTCTGTTGATGATTTCCCCTCAATTACTGTTCTGGGAACACCCCAAACTTGGGATTTTCTTTTGTTTCACTTTCAATGATAATGGTAAAGAGGACAAATAGAGAGGGTGAATCTCCTTAACCTGGGAACAGACAGCAATAAAAATAACAGGTGTTCTAATCCCTCACCACTCCATTCAAAACTAAAAAAAAAGGTTTTGCTTTTAGTTACACTTTAAAGACTTCAATTGGACATATTGTGGTTGCAAAGAATAGAATTCTGTATATATAGGAGTATAATTATTGCATAGCACTGTGGAATCATACCCCAGCATTTCTGTGCCTCTAGTAGCTAATGTACAAATTGTAAAACTATGAGAGTCACATCAAAAATATAAATACAATTAGGTAAACACCAAAACAATACAAGAAATTTGCCCACTAAAAATAAATACATTTTGCTTTCTTTTTAATTACATCCTGTTTTTGTTTTTCACACATGCCTTTTATGCATGGTGTATTAGACCTCCTTCACATGGGTGTACTTAAAGTGGAACTACACTCACCTTGTCTCCAGCAATGCAGTGTCCTGGAGCTTCCGGGTCTCGATTGCCGCCTACTGTCATTGGCGCATGCACGGGAGTTCAATCAGATTTGGCAAAGCAGAATGTGTATAGTGAGCTGCGTGTGCAGAGCTCACTGTACAAGACCAGACAGCCAGATAAGTAACTTTTATACAGAAGAGACAAAGCATGTGAATGAGGCCATTCGGCTTGCACTACTTTTCATATGTTTGTTTACCAAATTTATACAGAATCGAGTCACCAAATTGCACAGGTTTCATCAATGCTCACCTTTTTATATAGTAGCTGAGACAAATACATTAAAATAATTCTTGGGATTTTCAAAATGGCCAGCACAAAGGAACCCATAATCGCTGTTCCAAGATGATACCAGAACAGAAGAGACAAGGAAGCAGAATGGGGTGCTTGACTTTTGTTTTATCTCTGGAAATAATCAGACATATTACATAAAGTTTCATGAAATTCAAAATCCACACTTATCTCCATGCATTTTTTTTAAAGGCACTGGACATCATACAGGAGGTAGATTCTTTGTATTCCATAAAACCAACCATCCACTGATATTTATTCATCCATTATTGTTCATCCTAAATATATCTTTTCTTTACAGAACAAAATTAAGCTAGATGGGATTTCAAAGTCAAATGGAAATGTCTGATTGTGGTCCCTCTATGTAGAAACACAAGGGCCCTGACCTCCAAAGACCGTCTTGTAAGCAAGGGAAAGCTAGTGCAGCTGATATTTACATTACGTCATGGACTGGAGTTCAGACAGTAAAATGCAGTTTCCCATATAATGTGGTAATACTAGAAAGAACTGTACAAATAAAACCTAGAGACCATAACAAAGGTGGGGCTTGAACTGTATAAAGGTGTTCTCAATCAAGAATGACTTTCTAGAATTCTCAGAAATACATTTGAAAGTGACCCTGTAATAAAAGGAGCAATATACT